GAGTAGCTCCCCACTGCGAGATTCGAGAGGAGTAAACAGCAAACAGTGTTCTGTTTTTTTTAATGACAAAACACAAGCACTACAGGAAAATCCTTAATGCGCTTTCAGAGCGGTGCCTGTGCGAAATTAGCGATTCACATTGGATTTGATTCGTTGAAGATTGAATCTATTTGGAAAAACGTTCTCACGAAGTTTATTCCACATAAAGGCAGTTTTCTCCAGATGGAAGAGTTCATAAACAGTGAAGTTCAAGGTGTACTGAGTTGAACCTCAAAACGATAAGCAGCCACAGTCCGTCGCGTATTTCTGAAATGTACCGCTCTTGGTGGAATCAAATGTGTCAAGTCACTTGAACACTTCCTGTGAAAGAAGAGAGACAAATCTCCAACCTTTCTTCGATGTTCCAGGTTATCAAGGTTGCACGTGATGTTCGTGTCTCCAATCAGGCGGATGGCTCTTTTCTGGATGAAATCCAATAAATTCAGGGTATGTTTGGAGTGCTGTCGTCAGCAAAGAAAAACCTTTCAGAGTTCTTATGTAACCTGCTCCAATTTATTGATAATGAATGCACTATCGCACCGAAATAACAATTTTTCCTTCGACACTATGTACCCATTCCATCAACAAATCCGGCTGGAAGGACCTAATGTATGTACGTGTGGACTGTATAAAAATATGAAAGGCAGTGATTAGAATTGAATAATCGGCGTTATAAGAGCGTAGCAATTGAATCACTTACCAAACCGCAATCTGCCGCCCCTTCTTCATTTCTTGATTATAGTCTCACTTGGGTATTTGATAATTTGAGAGTTCAATAAATAGCCGACCGAAAGGATTTCGAACAACTGCTTTTGCACCTCTTTTTCGTACGCGTGGTTTTGGATTGGCAAATATAAATATCTTCCCTTGTGGTACCCATAATTAGCTGAAAATAATGCAAATGCAAAGAATACTACTACTACCGATGTAAAGGACATAGTAGTAGCAAGGCACAGTACAGAAAGTTTACTGTATATTAACATTGAAATTGAAGTAAGATTATTCAACTATCTAACGACATCCAGATAATACGAGCTTAGTGAACCAACTCAGGTATATCTCTACCAAAGAGGTGGTGTTACCAATATGAATGTGAATATGAATGAATCCTAGATACCATCCACTCAATTTAGTTTTATTACGCGTTGTGTAATCTCGCTTGACTAGACGTACGTAATTTTTTGGGGAAAAAACTTCTGGCTTTCTACTTCTTCATTTTTATACTGAAAATGTAGATACTCCTGATCTATCTCGAATTATTTTTTGTCCGGTAAGTCAATAACAATAATATCGCAAATTTTTTGAAAACGACAGATAATGGGGCTTGGGTTACCAGACAAATGAAAATTCAAGCAATTTAATTGAAAGACAATGAAAACAAAACTTCAGTTCAGAGTAAATCATCAGGAGTATATAAGTTGACTCGTGGTTCTTGCCCATAATTTTACATTGGTCAAATGGGAAGAACCTTTCCCCAAAGAATAAAAGAACTTGGGAGTAGTTTCTTGAAGGTGAATACCAATTACACATTTTCAAACCATATTTTGACAGAAGGACATGAATTCAACTACGACTGAGAAGTATTACATTTGAAGGAGAAAGGTATGGAACTTAATCTTTTGGAATGCTTAGAAATTGATAGATTCAAGAGTTCTGAAAACTTAGTTAAAATTATTAGTCATAGGTCGTATGATTCAAATTGTTATTACATGAAGCACAAATTACATGTCCATTCAATGAATTCGTGGATTTTTTTATGATGTTTAAAAATGTTCAATACTTTTCACCTAAACTCAGATAAAATTATGAATCATAATTCAGGTTGGAGGTCATATGATCCAAACTGTTGAGGAAGCTAATGTATAGCGAAACACATGTTCTGGTTTTGGAAACTCCATTTCGTTACGTGACATGAACTACTATAATGAAACATGCATAGGCTACTGATTTTGCATGTATACGCAATTAAACTTCTTACTGTAAGATCATTCCTGAACCGGAACCTAGGCAACTCTTCACACGCCTAATTCGAGTATTTTCTTTCAAACTTGAAATATGAAGAGTTTTTTGCCTGCAACATTTGTTATATTTTGTTAGTTTTCAATAACTTCATCGTCCTTTGCTAAAACTTCATACTTATTGAATCGACGTGACTGATCATCTAAACTTGGCAGAACCGTGTAACTAATAGCAAAAACTCATTTAATGGTTGGTCTACCTATTTTTAGGTGAGTAAGACGTATGTTATCAAGAATATTGCTTCTGTTATACTTGAAGCTTTCAAGTGTTTTCGTCCAAATAAAAAACTGTACATACTCCTATTCTTTGTATTTTAAAATACTTGCTTACATCATCTTCTATCTATCTATCTATTTTGTGTTCTGTCTAACAAAAAAAAAACACTAGAGTTATCTTTATTACTATTACTACTCCTTTATTCTTTCTTAATTGACAATCCTAAAAATTGCATTGAAAGTTGTCATAGCACTACACCAATAAAATATATAAAAATATATAATACATACACCTACTTAAAAAAATTTAACAATTTAAAACGATTACATACATACATTCATTCATTGAGATAGTCAGCAACTGAATTTTTCCAACAGAAACTGTTTCAATAATTTTTTAAAAACATGTGAACTTTTCTTTCCTTTTATTTGAGGTGGAAGGTTATTGAATAATCTAGCGCCCATGCTATTTGGAGATTGATTACTCAGCTTTAAACGGACCGTTTGAAAATGTATATCTTTTTTCTTTCTCATATGATAATTGTGCACGTTATCATTGAGTGTGAATTCATTTTTGTTTCGGAAAACATACATACATGCTTCATATATATAAACACATGGTGTTGTCAATATACCTAAGTTTGGAAACAATTATCTACATGAATGAGAGCTAGATACCCCTGCCATACAGCGAACAATCTTTTTTTGTGCTATAAACACTTCAGTACACCTAGTTGACATACCCCACAATAAAATGCCATATCTAAATTGGGGGTCTATTTGAGCGGAATAAAGAGTTATTAACTATTTGAGGAACACCTCTCTCGAAAGTTCTCAGTTGTGAGTTGACCTTCTGAGTCTTGCTGCCATTGTTTTGGGCTATACTAACATACTGGGTACGATTTTCTATGAATGTTGATACCCAAGTATTCGCTACCCCTATAATACCAAATCTTTCCAGTTTTGCTACTAACTTAGCGTGGTTCACACGATCGAAAGCCCTGCTTAATTCACAAAATACTGTAGCTGGACTTTCACCTCCTTCAATATGTTCTACCACTGTGCTATCAAAGGAAGCTAAAGCTGTTATCGTCGACCTTGATTTTCGGAAACCATGTTGGTTTTCGGTTATAATTTAAAATTTTTCAATAAATGTTATAAGACGGTCCAGAAAAGAGTATTCGAATACTTTTTGAAAATTGAAAGGTATCATTACTGGTCTGTAATTTTCCAAATTATTTCGATTATTTTTTTATGAACTGGAGTCACTTTCCCGCATTTTAGTACTTTTGGGAAAGCGCCATTAGAGAAAGACCAATTCACCATGAAAGTGAGAAGTGTTATTATCGATTTGATAACTTTTTTAATAAAAAAGGCGGAACTTCATCTGGACCTGTCGAACATTTATTTTTTAGTCTATTTTTTAATATGCTGAGTAACTCATTTTCCTTAAATGGACTCAGAAAAATAGAATTGAGATTGAAATCTGTATTTTCTGTTGGTTCTATGCTTTTTTCGTCTAATTGAGAAACCAGATCATTTGGAGCAGTAACAAGAAAGTTGTTGAAAAGTGTTGCCAACTCAGAGGGATTTTCAATCATTTCATCTCCCATTTTTATTTTTATGTTTTGAAAAGCTCTAGATTTATTTGACAACTCCGCAATCACCCTCCAGCATGTTTATGCAGGGTCATCCGATGCAAAAATCCTGTTTTGATAACGTTTCTTTTTGGTTTTTTCTACTAAAGCTTTATGTTTCTTTTTTGAGATACGATACACATCTGAGAATAGTGGGTTATATTTTCGTAGTATGTAAAGATCACTGAGATTATTACTGGACAAACTAACTTCTTCAGTAATCAACAAACTAGACATCAGACATCAAATCGGTTTGAACATTTTTTACTGATCCTTGTGTGAAGTATCGTTTCGTGCTAAGACTTTCCATGTGTTCGTTTTCATGCAATGGAAATTCATATAAGATCGTTCTATGAGCAGAGTAAAAATTGTCAACCACGCAACAGGTTCCTTTCTCATTTGAATTTACAAATATTTGATCTATAATAGTACATGTTTCCAACGTTATTCGTGTTGGCCATTTGACTGTTGGAGTTTGGCCATAAATAGATGAAATATTGCTCAACTCATGGAATTTGTTATTTTTGTAAACGGCGAAATTAAAATCCCCACAGAGAATAATATTGACGTGGGTTTTATTCAAATAATCTAACACCTCATATATCCTATCCAGAAATACATCACATCACAACAAAATATCGCTTACCCTTTTTAAACGTCACAGCACAAATTTAAAAAATTTTTTCATCACAGAACTTACATAAATTAAATGGAGTTGCCTCAATATTTTCCTTGGCCCATATAGCTACTCCTCCACTTTTTTTTTACTGGCCGACAGTATGAACTAATTAATTAAACTCCATTGAGATGAAAAGTATTTATACAGTTTCCTTTAACTCCTATCTCTGTTGAACATAAAAGCTCAAGGTTATTTAAATTCGAAATGTCTTTCCGAATATAGTTTATTTTATCAGAACTGATTGTCCGTACGTTCAACAGAAAACGACTGTCTTTTTTATGCATACCAGCCCGTACCCACATTCAAATACACAGAGTTTCACCGAACTATGTTTCACTGTAAACTGCACCAGTATAAACCCGAGCCAAAGTGCAAGGTATACATTTTATAAAATCGATAATTTCGTTTCAGGAATATCGTCGTGTGGCGTATTTTTGCATACCCACGACGCCGTTGGGAATCCCACGCATCCCATAATCTCCCCGGATTCGATGTTGAACTTCCAGGGAGATTTATCCTTCATCGACAAACTCAAAAGCTTTCTATTCAATATCTGGTACAGAGCGATATACTACTGGTACGCCTTACCGATGGCTGACAGAGTAGCCAGGAAATATTTTGGAGAGGACATGCCTTATTTGGGAGACATCGAGAGGAATATCAGTCTTCTTCTGTTGAATGTTAACCCCATCATGCAGACTGTTAGGGCGAATGTGCCCAATGTCATCGAAGTCAATCAGATGCATATCAGGGAAAAGAAACCTCTTCCCAAGGTGAGTTTTGAAAGGTATATGAATAGGTGCTGCAAAACTTATGAATGAGAATGTTTCGACGAGAATGAGTGAGTGTGTAAATGAGTTCGACCTTATTATGAATCATTAAAATTATTAGAGCGTGAAAGCTGTTTTCGGACTTTGATTAATTTTTGGTGTTTCACGTACATTCATTCATATTGCATATAAGTACAGATTGCGTAGACAAAAAGGATCATCTTATAAATAGAGGTGATCTCTATTCCTGAGCAAGCGACCTAATTTCCGGCATGCTCATATTTCTCATATTTCAGTTATGTAAATGAGCCCACTTTCAAAGTTAAATAAGGTTATAGGTTAGGTTAGTTTTTGATAAGAAACGTCTTCTCTTTAATATCTATCATGGGCTTGGTTTCGTTACGTGTTATGATGCTGCTGGATATACTACCAGAAATGAACAGAAAAAATTAAGATGCATTTCCAAAGTGTTGATCATCCGACAATGACCTGAACGGACACTGAATTCGTCTCTGATATTTTGTATACGTTCATGTGATACGTTCCTGCTTTTCATACTGTTTTGGTCTTTCAGGTTACTGATGATGCCAGGTCTTAAAATGTACATGAAATTTCATAAAACTCCATGAGACTAAATCGATGGATTGAGTTACGGTGATCTAGTAGGCTATTCAGTGTCCCCCTTCTTCCTGTCTTCGATCCGAAACCGGATTCTGCGATTTATTTGAATGCCAAAAAAATCTTGGGACGAAACAGAAATTGATGGATCTCAGGAATAACCTTTCTGAGAACGTTTTTCCAAATGGATTTGCTTTCCAGCGAATCGAATCCAATGTGAATCACTACTTTCGCACAGGCATCGCTCTTAAAGCGCCTTAAGGATTTTCAAATTTACATCAACAAAATATACAGGGCTATTCAAATTTGTTTCTGTACATGGAGATCTCGTAAACGATAAGAGATAGGGTGTCGGTTAAATTGTGGCAAAGCTGTGTATTTTAGAGACCTATTCAATGATGTAAAGAAATCGAATATAGCTCTTTTGGTTCTGGAGATATACAGGAAAAACAAAAAAATCCCAAATTATTTTTTGGCCTATATCTTCTTTATTCGCAGACATATTGAAAATCTGTCCACATTTTGCTATTGGCACTTNAACTATGGGGGTGGCCCAAGTCAGATGACACCCTGTATAAAAGATTCATGGATATATTCTGAGAGCCCACATCAAGTGCCAATAGCAAAATGGGGAAAGATTTCCAATATGTCTGCGAATAAAGAAGATATAGGCAAAAAAATAATTTTAGATTTTTTGGTTTTTCCTGTATATCTCCAGAACCAGAAGAGCTATATCCGATTTGTTCACATCATTGAATAGGTCTGTAAAATACGCAACTTTGCCATGATTTAACCGACACTCTATCTCTTATCGTTTACGAGATCCCCATGTACAGACACGAATTTGAATAGCCCTGTAGATCAATCCCGGTAAACATTCTTTTCTTGCTACGTTAAAAAACGACAGTGGAAAATTTTCGCCTTCTGGTTAATGGGAAAAGCATGTACCCAATCAAAAATTGTATATATTAAAATGTGCATGAAAGTGTCCACTGCATGAAATATTATGATGTTAGTAATATTTATTACAAGAACCACTGTGATCTACCAGCATACGAGAACCATCATATGACCAGGATAATTGTATTCCGTACGATACCAGCTCACACTTCAACATTCTGTGATTGTTATGAATAATATTCTGGTGGTCTTGCCAACTGTCATACCCGTTCAAATAAAATGTTGACACATCCGGAAAACAATCTTGATTTTGAAATTATCATTTTTTATCTTCTATCTTATCCACCATATCCATTTATCAATATCCAGAACCTACTGTGTAGGTAGTTGGGAGAGATATACTTGGTGTTACATACAGTGTGCCTCACTTCTCATAGAAACACCTTCGTATCTTCCGTGATAATGCATGTAGAATGATGAAACCCTCAGGACTGATGTGAGTGCTCAAAATGCACCTACAATCTGAATAGGGTTGGCCAAAGTGATATATAGTGCCCGCTACTGGCGATGGAACAACACATTTTTACGGTAAAACATAATAGGGGCAAAATTTGCTCAAAATTCCTTCAGATTCGTGATCAGGACTACTAACTTACTATACATACACTTCTTTCTCGAGAAAAGTTCAGTTCTGAAAAGGCCGAAATTGTCTCACTTTTCATGGAAACACCCCCGTATTGTTTCAACATCAAAACACGAAACCCGCCCTAGAATATCAGAATTTCTACATGAAAAATCAATCGTTAAAGAGAAACTTGACTTTTGTATTCACATAAATAATTTATTTTAATTTGAGTATCAGGAAAGTTATTCCTTCTCGCAAAGTCGATAAGTCAATTCAGATTCTCAACTTCTCATTATTTTCAAAAAGTGTTTTGTAGCGTAAAATTTTATGTAGTACATTTCTCAAAGTAGTACTTTCCGAATCACGTTTTCAATTGGAAAACAAAACATTCAATATCGATTGATTTAATTGTTGACAATTTTGTATTGTTGTGCCTTCTATCAAACTTCCCTCTGAGCGAACACAATTTTCTAAGCGCCTCCTACTATTTTCTCCAACTCTTCTTAGTTCTCTAGGTGTGATTTCTCTACAGGCTCGTATAATTCTTGCACGGATACCTTCACCTTTTGTTGGCTTATCCTCATAAACTTCATTTTTCAGCGTTCCCCATGAATAAAAATCCAGTGGATTTAGATCTGGTGGCCATACTACGAGAGGGCTACTGGGTCCTATCCATTTCATAGGTAGGTTCCTATTCAACCAAACCCTTGTTATGCTACTATTGTGAACTGATGAACCATCTAACTGAAGCCATAATAAACCCTTATGGGTTGCGGTGGAGGGTCGAATAGACCCACTCACTTTAGACCTACCTACCATCTAACTGAGGAATCATGGTATGTCTAACATCTAGAGGTAGTTCTTCCAACACATCGGAAAATGCATTATCAGCTATAATATCCCAAGGACATTGATAACTAACGAAATAATTTTATCTACCTTACCTACCTAAAATAACGTGCTTGAGGAAGTTGTGATAAAATTATGAGTTATTTATCAATGTTCGAGGGATATTCGGTGAGAAAATTTTTTGCAATTCGTGATCGAAAAAAAAATGGCCCGATAATATTTTCGTTTAGAATACCACACCACACATTAAGTTTCTGGGATATTTGCTATCTACAATTTGGATTTTGTTCAGCCTAAAATCTCATGTTCTGGGAAGACACAACACCATTGGTGGTGAAGGTAAGCTCATCACTATACTTTAAAAAATTCCTATCATTGGGATAATTTTCCTGCATCCATAAACAATACTTCATACGGCGGATTTCATGTCCTTCGTGCAAAGTATGTAGAAATTTGGGTTTGAAAGCATGCATTTCATGCCTCTTTGAACATCTCTATATTTTACAGCGGCGCATATTGAGTTGAAGTGATAAGATTCTTAAATTAATTCTAAGATCAGTTTGATAAGCCGCCAATATGGCGTCATCTTCAATTTGTTGTTTTACAATTTTTCTGTCCTTTGTTACTTGGACGGTGCTCACGAAGAAATTATGGACAGTTCCAGGTTGTACAGCTACCTCTACCGGGTGCCTTTTATTGAATTCAACGGCCGTTTTACAGTAAAACCTCGCGCCTTCACCAACAATTAAAACAATTTAATATTTTTTTTTGAAGTGACTGACAGACGTGCCATGTTGAACTCTGGTAATCGAAATGAGCTGATATCAGTTAAAATAGGGATTTTAAAAATATTTAAATATCAATAGGAACTCACGAACAAGAAAACACAGGAATAATACACAAAACAAACACAGAAACAATGATCACAATGGGAACAAAAACACGATAGAAACAATAGGAAAAACAGTAATACAAGAAACAACAATACTAGAAAAACAAATGCATTGAAAACTGGTCTGGGGGTTAATACAACAAGATCTTTCAACAATATTGTCAAGTTGACAGTAAATATCAATGAGCAACTGTTTTGCATAGTAATCTCAGGGCACCACATGATTTTCATCAAGTGAAACTAATATAATTCAATCCCTTCAAATAATTTCAGGCAATTCAGCAAGTAGGTAAAATAATCTTAATTCTACCTGTTTATCGAGTGCTATTTTTTTTTTTTAAATTACCAGTTGTTTCGGTGTTGCAATGAGTGTAAAGATTAATTTTGTTTCGGTTGGCAAAATGTTTCCTCAATATTTTAGTAAAGGATCCCGCATATTTCTTACCGAAATTTTGATATGTTGTAGTTCTTGATGTGCTGATTGAAAGTATCTACTGCCAAAGCTCAAAAATGTATAGTTTTCGAGACGAAACGAAACCGTGAAAATATATGCATTTTTGATACCTTATTTACTGTAAAAATGGGTTGTTCATCGCGAGTGGAGGGCAGTGTATATCACTTTGGCAAACCCCATTTAGGTGGTAGATGCATTTAGAGCATTTCCGTCAGTCCTGAGAGTTTCATCATTCTATCTCGATTATTACTGAAGTGAGACACACTGTATCATTTTGAATTTTGTTTTGATGAATACTGGGATATATAACTTTTGAGGATATGTACTGAGGAAAATTAGAGTAAACGGAAGGATTATAAATTACCTTCAGCCATGTTTTATAAAAATGAAGTCTGTTAAAATACTTCTGAGATTGTCACTTTGTTTGCCTCTTATTTTTCAACTGTATATAATAACCAGACAGTGAATTTTACCCCTGAATATAATTTTGAAAACAAAGTCTATATCAACAATTACAGTATTACTGCTACGGATATAATAGATTATAGTGAGATTCATTAAAAGTTTCTAGCTGGTAGGAAATAATCAACATGCAGAGTTGAAGAGTTTTGGAATTAAATTGAAATTGAAAATCAATTGGAGTTGTTGAAAAATGTTCAGAATGAATACGGTAACGAATAAGAATAATTTGTGGACTCGGTGACTTGTGAATCTAGAATGTTACACAAAATATTATGAATTTAAAAGGATTGACAAATGATAAATGGAACATGGGAAAATTTGAAAATCAAATCAGAGTATTGAAAAGAATTGAATGAATGTGGTAAAATATGGAAAAAATATCGAGGACTTCAGAGAGCTTGAGAATGTTGAAAGTCATAGTGATATCCATTAAAAGTTTCTACCTGGTAGAAAATAATTAACATGCAGAGTTAAAGAGTTTTGGAATTGAAAATCAATTGAAATTGTTGAAAAATATTCAGAATGAATACGGTAACGAATAAGAATAATTTGTGGACTCAGTGACTTGTGAATCTAGAATGTTACACAAAATATTATGAATTCAAGAGGATTGACAAATGATAAACGGAACATGCGAAAATTTAAAAATCAAATCAGTGTATTGAAAAAAATTGAATGAATGTGGTAAAATATGGGAAAAAGTTTGGGGACTCCAGGGAGCTTGAGAATGTTGAAAGTCATAGTGAGATTCATTAAAAGTTTCTAGCTGGTAGAAAATAATTAACAAGCAGAGTTGGAGAGTTTTAGAATTGAATTGAAATTGAAAATCAATTGGAGTTGTTGAAAAATGTTCAGAATGAATACGGTAACGAATAAGAATAATTTGTGAACTCAGTGACTTGTAAATCTAGAATGTTACACAAAATATTATGAATTTAAAAGGATTGACAAATGAAAAATGGAACATGGGAAAAAGTTTATGAAGTCTGATTGTTAAAAATCTGAAAAATCATTATTATTATTATTCAACTACGGAAAAGATAAAACTATTTTGTGAATCTCAATACTACATGAATTATTCAATTTACTGTTCCATATTACCTTTTAACGAGTTGTGAATCACACGTTAAAAGGTAAGACCTCGTTAGTCCTCAGCTGGCAAAAATTTATTTAGACTTTTGAGGGTTATAACTCGTAGGGGTGTGATAGCTGGTTAACGAAAAACATATTCTAAACAACAGACAAACATATAATCTGATGCAATATTCAGTAAGATTGTTGTTGAATGATTCGTAATATCCCTCAGGATCTCCAGGAGTATTTGGATTCCTCTTCAGAAGGGGTGGTGTACTTCAGTCTCGGTTCCAATGTGAAGAGCGCAAATCTGACTTCGAGAATGAGAGATGTGATCATGGGAGCCTTTTCTGAAGTACCGTACAACATTTTGTGGAAATTCGAAACTGACGATTTGTCGGGGCGACCAGACAACGTTTTGACAAGGAAATGGTTGCCTCAACAGGATGTTCTAGGTGATTCTTTATGATATTTTCATTATAAAAAAAAGGTTTCGTTAATAATAACAATGCTACTCACATCATGTTAACATTCCATATTTTTGTCATCCACAACTTTCCGAAAGTACTATTGAGTAATATTGTGATTAAATATTCGAATGCTTCGAAAAAGCGTTGAAAAAATCTTAAGACAGGTACAGGAAGAAATGTTTCTCTGTTGTGGTGTTTTCATGGATATGTCCATATTTTATAATTTGTTTTTTGCTGGCACTCACATTGAATCATTTCCGACGAAAGTTGTTCTCTATCTCTGTTCGATGTGTTTCGATCGAGCAGAAAGATTGGAACACTTCTGGTAGGAACGACATATCTGAAATAAAATTAGTTCGAACAAAACACATATATAGCGTCACCTCAAGTAATTTTCTATTGCATTTCAGATTTGCGTATTTTGAATATATCTACACTAATATAAATGTGAAAGTTTATGAGGTTGTATGTATGTATATTTGTGGCTCTTTCACGCTTAAATAACTGAACGGATGAAACTTTTCATAAATACAGCTTATATATACCTAATATAAACATATAGGCTACAATTCACAAAGGTCACATAAAGGTTTGGTCGTAATATTGTTGTTTTTCCCCGTGGATTGTCCAATAATTGACTGAACTGACTAATCAATCTTAACTTTATTTCACTTCAAAACGACAATCACTTCAACTACAACTTCAACTATTATTCGAATGTCTATCGCTTTAGTAGATCGCTTCGCGTACCGCCACTGTAACTTCAACTTGAGTGTGTCGATATGCTTCTGGCTAGCGTTTATACAGGGTGTAACTAAACAAGTGTAAAACATTCAAGGAGGTGATTCCTCATCGAAAAAAAGATAGGATCTTTCATATAAAGAAATTTTATTGGAGCATCCCTTGTTAAGATCCAGCCCTTTAAAAGGGGTACATAAAATTTGTATAACCATTTTTTTCATAAGCACTAAAAAAGTTACAATATTGAAATTAACCTGACGTTTTGTACTACCAAACGCAACCCCTAAAATTTATTTCCAATGTAACTTCTTGTTTTATTATATGTTAACCATTTAAAACTTCATTTCCGATAGCCTGTTTCATTCTAAACAAAAAATGTCTCATGAGTTTTTTGCTCAAAATGAACCAGTTCGCAGCAAAACATTATTTTACGAACAACTACAGAGATACATCGTCATAAATGCGAAAATACGAAAGTAATTTATCTAGTAGGTCGCTACTAGCGATAGTGACAATTAAATTGGTATGACGCTGTCAGTTTGTGAATTTTCGAAATTGAATTAATACTAATCATGTGTTGTTGTTCTGTTCCTAATTTGTTACTTTAATAATTCACTGGTTATTAAGATGAGGAAATGGCTGATATGCATTACGTTTACGGTTTGTCGCAGGGGAATGGGTTAGAAGCTTCTAGAAGATGCTGAAGATGCTGAAATGTATCCTCAACGGCAGCATCCTTCACATAGAATATTTGCTCGACTTCATCAACGATTACGAGAATATGGTTCATTCGACAAAAGAGCGCAGGATTGTGGTCGCCATCGAGAGGTACGAACACCACAGCTTGAAGAAGCAGTACTTAATTTGATTGAAGAACAACCTACTACCAGTACTAGAAAGATTGCTTTCCAGCTAAATGTTGATTATATGATGGTATTTTGAATTTCAAACGAACAACTCTCATACCCTTACCATCTGCAACGAGTACAGGCACTGTTACCGCGAGACTTTCCGAACCGTCTTGAATTTTGCAATTGGATGCTGGAAATGATCAGAAGAAATTTTGACTTTCGGAAGACGATAGAATTCACAGACGAATGTAGTTTTTCTTACAAGATCATTAATTTTCATAATCACCACATATGGCCTGATGAAAACCCTAACGCTATTGTCGAAACTAACCATCAAGAACAGTTTTCTCTTAACGTGTGGCTCGGAGTTATTGGGAAGATTTAATTGGGCCCCATTTTTTACATCCTCGATTAAATGGTGAGGCATACGTTCAAATTTTAAAAGAAGTGCATCCAGTACTGCTGATGGGGCTTCCGCTCATTTTAGGCAAGTAGCACGTCAGCATTTAACTGAAACATATGCAAATCAGTGGATAAGTCGAGGAGGCCCACAGAACTGGCCTACTCGATCCCCGGATCTCAATCCTCTCGATTTCTCTATTTGGGGCCATTTACAGCATTTGGTTTATCGTACTCCTGTTCGCGATGTAGATGACTTAAGAAACCGTATCATCGATGAGTGCAGGGTAATCAGGGTAACATTTACTATGATTTCTACATGTTGTATGTTTTGTCATTAATGAATTAGTTTTGTTCATTACCCTTCAATCGTTTAATACAGGTACCAACTACAAAATAACAATAAATCCAGTTCGCATTTATGACGATGTATTTCTGTAGTTGTTCGTAAAATAATTATTTGCAAATATTTTGTGCAAAAAACCCGAGAGACATTTTTTGTAGAGAATGAAACAGGCCATCGGAAATGAATTTTCAAATGTTAAACAAATAATAAGACAGAAAGTTACATTGGAAATAAATTTTAGGGGTTGCGTTTTCCACCCCTTACAACCATGGGGTAAACCAAATAAATTTCTGGCTAAGTGTCTTTTTGGTAGTACAAAACGTCAGGTTGATTTCAATATTGTAACTTCTTCAGTGCTTGTGAAAAAAATTGTTATACAAAATTTATGTACCCCTTTTAAGGGGCTGTATCTTAACAAGGGATGAAGTTTCTTCATATGAAAGATCCTATGTTTTTTTCGATGAGGAATCACTTCCTTGAATGTTATACACTTATTCAGTCACACCCTGTATATCGTAATCAAATGCAGTAGAAATTTCACCGAAATTCTGTCGAAATTGATTATTCTCGCTGCTTCTAGAGCGGCAGGAAACATTGAACATTCGCGCGCTATTTGCTACATCACGATTGGTTTATGGTTACCAGTGGCAGCCGTCGTTATTTTCTTTAGGGCATGACTTACAACACTAACCCCTTCCTTGAGGTTGTTGGCCCCGAACAACATTCCAAGAGGGGACATCAAGACCCATATCTCAGCCTCTCTATGTGGACAACTTCAGGCTTGCTTCTGGGTGACAAATGGATTCTGTACAGCAGATCGTTTATTTTTTTGGTTACCTAGTAAGGTCCTTGCCATGGTCTTTGCAAATTGGGACAGAAACCTTTCCGACGTTGGGGTTGGTAGAGCCACACTACATCGCCCTCCTTGAAGCTCACTGGCAGCAACTTTTTGTCAAATCTTATCTTCATCCTGTCGCTGGAAAGCTGTAATTTGATCCTGGCAAATTCGTGTATAATTTCCAGTCTCTCCTTCAGGTCATTCACATATTGTGAAAGAGGTACCGCTTGAGATTCATCGAAAGGACTGCCACACACTACATCTATCGGAAGCTTCAGTTCCCTACCAGTAAAAAATATTTTTTTTCAGGTCACCCAAACATAAAAGCGTTCATCACCCAAGGAGGAGCACAATCTATCGAAGAAGCAATTTACAACGAAGTACCAATGATTGGAATACCCTTCATAACTGATCAACCTACTAATGTGAGGAGAGTTGTCGATCTAGGAATGGGTCTTGGTCTGGACTACCGAACTATGACGAAAGGGCAACTGAAGAACGCCATTCAGGAGGTGATTGAAAACAAAAAGTACGTAGAAATTCACACTTTAACAAAACAATTTTGTTATAATGTTAATGAAAATGATAATGTCATTCAATATTCATTCATCATTCATTAAAAAAAACGACAATACAAGTACAAATTACATAAATGGATGAATGAATAACTGGTAATCGAGAAGTAACTTAATACTTGTTTCGGAGTGGTAAAACAAGGATTAAAATGAATAATGAAGATATAAACAATCTGACAAAAGTCTAAACAACTTCTTCTTTTGTTTTCAAACATACATACACTTCACACACTTGCTTACACACCTGGACGTCCAATAAACATATTCAGACGCATACATATAATACATAGTAGGAAATATACAAGGTACAATAACTTGTACAAACTAGATTACATTTCAAAAATTATTGATTTTTTTCCTTCGATAATGTCACTGATTGAAATTCAAGATGTTTTTTTGAAAAAATCTAATAGGGTTTTTTTAATAGAAAATGATTTTTGGTACTGGTTATTTGATAAGGAAGAGATTGTACAGTTATGGTGCAATATATAAGAAATAGATTCTTGTCCAAAAGATTCACCTAACTATTAAATAAGGCAACACTGTAAAAATAATTTAGGACTAGTATATAGAAATCTTTTGATATTCCTGATAATTTGAAAAATCCAAACGAGATCAACCAATATTTTATCAACTCCATACCTGTCAGTGATCCACCACAGGAAATACTTACGTTCTATGGAAATGATAAGCTCACAGATGGGGATTTTATATCCAGAGAAGTTGATGATCTATTTGTTTACCAAACATTGTTTTCTATCAAAACGAAAACTGCAGGTTGTAATGAACTGAATATTGATTATATTAGATTATGTTGGCCATATATAATATGTTATATAACCCATATAATCAATTCCTGTTTAGCAACTGATTTGTTTCCGATACTGTAAAAGTACTACTAAAAAAGACTAATCCAAGTAATTTTAAAGATCTCAGAGCAATCAGTATATTGCAAATTTTGGAAAAAGCAATGGAAGTCCAGCTAAAGAAATATCTCGAGTACTTCTCAATACTACCTTCGATTCAGTCAGGTTTTTGCAAGGGATACAGCTGTACAATCGCACTCTTGCACGTTGTCGACGATATAATTAGAACTACAGATCAGGGAAATTTTTCTTGTTTGATATTATTGGATTTTAGTCAGGCCTGTGACACAATCAGCCATACACTATTATTGAAAATTTGATCTTATATAGGTCTCCCCGATAGTGCTGTTTCGCTCTTTGGATCATTCTTGGAAAATCGTCAGCAGCAGTTCAATATAGACGAAGTTGAATTCTAATATATTTCATTGAATCGTGGCGTTCCGCAAGGGTCTATTTTGGGTACACTGCTATTTGCCGTATATACGTCGAATTTAGACAAGAATCTTCAGTACTGCAAAATACACCTATATGCTGATGACACTTCACAAATGACTGCCTCAAACTATTGTCTGATTATTAATAGTAGTAAATCTATTTTTTATCGACCTTTTTTTTGGGTAATTGTTACCTTCCACAATCTGAAAAAATATAAAAATTATAATGGAGAACTTTATAGAAGTATTTTTCACAAAGAAAAATCTTCTATTTATCAGTAATTTGTCGTATTTCACAATTTTGCCTATCAAAAAAATTATTAAGAAATTATACTTATCTTTTACGTTTCGGAGGCCAAAATCTGCCTCCGTCTTCAGAAATGGATAAAAATTCGAATATATACGCAGTTATTCCTTTTTTGAGAGCTTATTTCTTTACTTCTTCGACAGATGTCAAAGAAGTAAATCTAATGTCACTATTGTCGGCTCTAAAATCGATCGTAGTACTGTACTTGATGATTTTTATGTTAGCATAAATGACTTCTCTCACAACTGTTGAAGAAGCAAAAAGTCTAGGAATTCTCCTAGACTTCTCCGATCTCAGATTTGAAAAACACGTCAATATACTCTTACAACGTGCATATTTCATGTTGAGGATTATATACGGTCGAAGGCATTTCTTTTGAGGTCGAGGACTATATTACGTGAGGCAACAGTCCTTTCGATTTCAATTATGCAGATGTGCTCTTTGGTCCATGTTTAACTAGTCAATATAAATCAAAACTTCAAAAAGTTCAAAATTCTTGCTTGAGGTTGACCTACGACATAAGGAAACGTCTCAGAATTTCACACAAACTTAAAACTGTTGGCTGTTTGAATATGAGTAATAGAAGAGTTCTTCATCCTGCAGTACTCTTCCATAAAGTCATACTGACCAAAACCCCAACATATCTGTTTAGAAAAATTACTCATCGGACAGATGTTCACAACCTCATTGTTAGAAATAAAGGTTTATTAACACCACATAGTTTTCGACTCGACTTGAAATTTTCAGACGCAGTTTCAGTTATCAAGTTTGCGCAATCTATAATAATATTCCTGAATTAATTAGATTTATGCTCTTATAACACCGCAGCGACATTTTCAGATCTAGTGGAAGAGCAATTAATAACGATTTATCGTTATAAAAATTGAACTACGCCGTTTGTTTCCAACTTATTCATATTTTTGTCCATACTATGCATTAACTGTTGAACCTTATTAGTTGTATACAATAAAGACATTCATCATCATCATTATTATTATTATATAAGCCAACATTGTAAGTTGACTTAGTTTAATCTTCCACTTGAAGATGATCACTTGGTGATCGAAACACGTGTCGAGGTGTTGAAAATAACAGTTTGGTGTTTGGATAAAACTCCAGTAATATCAATTACCACACTAAAGATTCCAAACAGTGGATCACAAGTATTATTATCTTTCTTTAAAAAAGGATTGAAAATTTTCCTTTTATACGTAAACTTTGTTTGACTTTGATATCTTGTCCTGATCAAAAATTATTGGGTGAGGAGACTATTACTGCACTGTATGAACTTGATTTGTAATGCTCTTTATAGTATGGAATATGAACTTTTCAGGTACAAGAAGCGAGTTCAAGAATCAAAAGCAATACTCGTTGACCAACCAATAAAAGGGGTTGAAAAAGCAGTGTGGTGGATAGAATATGTAATAAGACACAAAGGAGCTAGAATCCTTCGAAGTCCTTCTGCTGATATGCCTTTCGCTGAGTACTTTATGCTGGATGTTATTGGTTTTATCCTATTGTGTATTTGCTTGTCATTCTATGCCGTAGAAAAAGTTTTCGCACTACTTAGATATATATTGTACTCTAGGCGTACTAAATTGAAAGAAAACTAACTTATTTGGATGAAATCATTTGTGATATTTATTTTTCTAATAAATTTATTATCAAAACACATATCATATAGTACAAAAATATTGGATATTTCCATTTTTTTTCACAGTTTATGTCCTCATTCACTTACACGTGATTGACTGTGACTGCACATCGTTTTAAGGTTCAACTCACCTCGAACTTCACTGTTTAAAAACTCCTTCATTTGGAGAATGTTTTACCAAATGGATTTGATCTCCAGCGATTCAAATCCAATGTGAATCGCTACTTTCGCACGAGCTCCGCTCTTAGAGTGCCTCAAAGATTTTTCTTTAGTGCTTGTATTTTGTCCTTATTTCTATAGAGACATTGAATGTAGGAAAACTAATTTTACCAAAACCTTGAAAGAAATCATTTGGAGATTTTCAATCTAACTGCAGGATACTAACTATAACTTTCCTGGACCGTCACCCAGTACAAGCGCTAGACTCAGATATAAGAATACTCTTCACATTTTTATATGTATCTATAAGTCCTAGGAAACTATACCAAAATTTGAATTCCTGTTTGAACATTTTAAATTGCATATTTGAATAGGATGGCGACCGTGGAATATGATTTTGATTGTCAAGTTGGCGGGAATTCGGTCAAAATGTTGAACAATTTCTGAATTGTCGACATTTCGAAACTTCATTGTTTCAACTTCAGGACTATGAAGTATAATAACAAGACATACATATTAAAATAGATATTTACAAAGCAGTTCTGTTAGAAACATAATAAATTATGTGATGTAACAATCGTTGAAAAATAATAAACGTTTAGAACACTTCACAACAAAACAACGTTGATGAGTACTTACATTTGGGACCGCTTTCCGAGTTGAAGGGTGAAGTGAATAATTTCGACAAAATATAAATACGTACACAGGTTTCTGAAAGACGTTGACATAGACACGAAGGGATTAACAATCTGAACTGTCTGTAAATCGTTCTTTATAATTCAAAAAAAGCCCAAGAAAAAAATGGGAATTGTATTTGGAAAAAGCAGTCGGTTAATGATTCCAAAGTTAGTTATTATTTGATTTTTTCTATTAGATTGAAATATTAGGTGTGTAAGTTTTCAATATCCGACCTTTTGTTGACGCATTTTGTTCCATGTTTTGTTATTTCAATCATTTCGTTCAGGAGTCTGTTTTTTAGTGTCGTATATTGTCCTATAATACTGACTGACTTAAAATCAAATTACACATTTTGTTTCTTATTGTCTTTTTTCCACAAAACTGTATATGTCCACTTATTTTAATCGAGTCCAAAAACACTTATTTACTTTCATAAGTCTATTTTTCGCGAGATAGGTCTATTAGTTTATATTTCCGTAGTCCGGTACTGTCCACTTCGCGAAACACAACGAATTACCAGTGTTTCTCTTATAGTCAATTTCACCGCAATACAAAGATTTTCCACCAAGCGCTCACAGATTCATTTTACAAATCCACTTCTGATCACCACTTGTGACAAATTTAAAGAATTAACTGTCTTGAACCAATTTATTTTCAACAATATTTCACTAATCACGAACTAATTTATTTACAACACTTAGCAACTAACGCTTAATTTATTTCCACTATTTGAATTTCTTGTTTAGCCGTTCGATTCACTTTATGAACTGCCCTCTTGGGTCGGGAATCCGTGCTCATATCGGTAACGGTCCTTTCTAGAAATCTGTAGTCGGTTCGGTACTAGAATTTAGATTCCCGACTGTATTCTTTTGAGGTGAGGTCATGTGTTTGTTCGATGAGTCGGCTGGCCTATCTGTCAGGGGCGGCTTCAAATTCGTTACAATACTTACGACGTCTATTCAAAAAATAAGGTGAATGTTCAAATTTCGCGGGCTACGTACATTTTATTAGCGATTTCAGTTGATACATTCGTCCCGAACATATTTCAGTTTCAGCTGTTTAGCATGTTCAGTTTGTTGGTGAGAGGCATACAAGTTAGAGTGTTTTGCTTGTTCCGCGATTTTCTGCTATTATACCAAAAACTTGCATCAAATTTTGTGTAAAAATACTCAAAATGTTGACAGTGGCATACGATGATTGTACTCTAGTGTCAGAAAAATATTAACAAGTAGTACAATATTTTTACAGGAAGATGTGAATGAAGACGCTTGTCCCAGCACATCAACAACCGATGAAAATCCGAATAGGAAAAAATAGAAATCGATGAATGAATAAATCTTTTTTTTTAGGAAAATGAAAACTCACCTTATTTTTTGATCAGACAGCTTATATGTTATGTGTAGCATAATTTATTTCATTATTAATTTCTACTGAATAAGTAGTAATTTTTATTTTCGATTGAGGTTTTCTCAAAATTAGCGTTTTCTATACAGTTCTTTTTTTCAATGTCCCCCTACTTTAATGTTTTGAACGGGTCAACTCAAAAAATTGAAATTTGGGATAATGAAATTAAAGCATGAATACTTTATATTGAAGTGAAATTGACAGGTGTAACTTTCAAGATGGCAACTGGACGTCATCTGGGAAGGAAGGTCTTGTGATATATCTTTTTGAAGCTCCTGACAAATGATTCACAATCCTAGAATATAATGTCAAAATCGTCAACTACTATAAAATGGCGGAACTTTCAATACATTGACATTTAACTATATTATATGAGGTAATAAGCTTGAGGTCAGTTCAGAAGATGCTCGAAATGGTTGCCTTGAACTTCTTGACATATGAATAGCGTATCCGATATTTCACGCTGAATATTATCGAACACAGTAAGACACACCTTTTGCTTCAAATAGCCTCATAAAAAAGTCCGACGGTGTCAAATCTGGTGAGCGGGCTGGCCATTCTGTCGGACCTCGACGGCCAATCTAACGACCGGAAAAAGTAGTATCCAAATAGTTTCTTACTTGTCTGGAGTAATGTGATGGTGCTCCATCTTGTTTGAATACAATGTCCATATCGAATTCCTTAGGATTCGCTTCAACGATTTCAGTGATGAGAGGGTCAGCAGTAGTTTCCAGCATATTCAAATACAGTTCCCCTGTTAAATTTTGATCAATAAATGGAGGTCCTATGATATGGTTTCTCAATATTACTGCCCAAACGTTATGTTTTTCTGGATATTGGGTATGTGTTTCCCGGAAAACGTGAGGGTTGGTCAATAATGTCAATTTTCTCTGTGAACATTGCCGTTTGAAAAAATGTACATTCGTCACTGAAACAAATATTTTGGAGCAAGAATCATTATTTAGAGTCGTAGGGGGCTGTAGAGAATCAATCATTCCTCAGAGCCGTAGGGGACTGTGGGACTCAAGTTTCTAAATGCACAAAATGGAAGTTCCAAATATTGTGGAGATAGGTAGGATGCTTTGCAATGGTTTCCGTCATGATTTCGCAGAATTCTGTTCTTCGATCAGGGTCATCTTCATTAAATTGGTGTACCATTTTAATTTTGTATAGATGATACCTATTCCTCTTCAAAAGTCACCACACAGTAGAAGGAGACACCTCACAAACATTCACGACGGAATAATTAGACTGTTCAGGGTTTACTACCATCTCACCAATTATTTGCAATTGCTGTTCTTCCGGAATGGATGGATGATCTGGGACGGATTACCATATAGCAGATAAAAAGGAATATTTCTAGAAATATCGATATAAATGTGTTTGTCTTCAGGGTATTATTAAATGTTTCGCCATCTTATAGTAGGTGAAGATATTGACTTCATATTCAAGGGTTTTGAAGTATACATCAGGAGCTTCAAAATGATGTGTCATAAGACCTCTCTTCCCATTCAATTTTTTCCCAGATGGCGCTCAGTCGCCATCTTGAAACTTTCATATGTCATATGTCAATTTCACTTCAAAATGAAGTAATCATGCATTAATTCCATCAGCCCAAATTTCAATTTTTTGAGTTGACCCGTTCGAAAAATAAAAAGAGAGGAAAATGCACTGTATAATAATATTAAAAAATAAATGTGAAGGTTACCTTGAATTAATTTAATATGATAGGAAAATGAATGTTTTGATACGATTAATTCGACGTATCGCAATTGGAAGGAAAGTATTAGGTAATGTATTTTTTGGTTTTGAGGTAAGTAGCAAAGGTAGAAAGAGGAAAGTGTCTTGTTTCGTCTTTAACAAAACGTTGCAGTTTCAAAGATCTCAAATGGTGAAACTACCTGATCATCCATTTTCATTTAATTTAATTATTAATTTTTGTTCAACATTGTCCGGTGGTTTTTATAAATAGGTTTATTGGCGTCTACCGTAATTTCTCTTTGTCTATTCCTGTTAGCTCTTTGTAAGTTTTGTTTTTTCGTTGATTTGTTGTTCATGAGATCTGAAAGAGTTTTCTAATTCTTTGAATGTTTTTGTATATATTGAGTGATTTGTTCGTTTTTATTCATTTTGAATGGGTTTTTATAATCTGAACGTCCTCGTAATATTTGGAAGGGTGTGTAACCAGTATTTGTGTGTATGCTGTTAGTATACGATGAGAGAGCGTAATTGAAAAATCTTGTTTCTCTTCGTGTAATACTCTGAGAATTTCAATTAGACTGGAATAAAATCTTTTTATGGGGCTGTTACTATTTAGATTATACGCGGTTTAGTGAATACCAATTTAAACTAATAAACATAAATCTAGAATAATATGGTTTTTTAATTCGACTTCGTTATCAGATGTGATTTCATTTGCATAGTGGAGTATAAAATGAATGAGTTTGTTGTTTCTACCGCTGAGAAAGAATTTATAGGATGAGTTTGTCCCAATATAGATTAATTATCAACGATTGTGAGAAAGTATTGTCATGAGTATTCGAAAAAATCATTATGAATATTTTCTGTCTATTAACATTTGTTTTTCCGCTAATCAGCTGTCACCCCCCCTACAAACAACAACTCTGAAATTTCAAAACTTGTGCGAGATGAGGACTAACGAGGTTCCACCTTTTAACATGTGATTCCTAACACGGGTTGAACGATGGGGAGTGGAAATCGATCGTCCGGCCTTGCGGTTCGAACCACCGGTTCACACAGAGGTCGATTGAGTGTGTCGAG